CTGACATATTGGTTTTATTTGAATATCATAGTTGTAAATTGTTCAAGTTTATGGGATGCCTGAATTGATGATTTATATCTCAGTTGAGCATATTGGCCTTCGCTCTCTGAATGTAGATATTCCAAACACCTGATAATGGTGCCACTTGGTTATATATGACACGCACCAATTGTAATGTGTGCAATAAATATTCATCAGCACTAAAGCTGTGACGATCTGGGTTAGAATCCAGGCTTTCAGTAACCCATTCTTGTAGTAAAAGGCCACTAAAGGGATCGGGTGGTCAGGCTTGCTGACTTGGGTGACACTTGTCATCACATCCCAATTGTGTAGATCGATGCTCATGCTGTTGATCACTTGGTTATCTGGTCAAAAACACCATAATTAGCAGAGAGCCTCCATATAGCTGTCATATTGATGATACAGGCATTATCAGCCTACCCTTGAGATTCCAAGTTAGAACCGATCCCCAGCAACTCACTCACTATCGTCATTATGCCCTTATGGAATGGGACATTGCTCATCATATCAATCACTGGATTGTCTGGTCCAGGCTATGTTTTTTCAGGCTGTTGTAGTACATCACTTTAATATTGCTAGTACAATATTGAAGGGGGACTGTGAAATTATCTCGAAAGTGTGTATACAAAAGAGCCAGTAGTCTAATGCTTAGTTTCTGAATATATATAATTTTGATTGTAACAAATAAACCCATTTAAATGGAAAAGGAGGCACAGAGAGACCAGAGATGCAGAACCTGGAGAAATCTAGACTTGCTTTATTTAGGGCTTTAGCATTGCAGGGTGGGCTAGGCTGTAGGGAAAATAATATGGTTCTGGGACTGTGAGACAGACTAAAGAGCCAGAGACTTTCTTCATATTCTGAAACTAAAGTATTCAGAGACTTACCAAATATAAACTGCAGTATTCTTAGACTTACCAAATGTTTTTGTCTGTGTGGTAGCTGTTTCATGATAATAACAGAACATGATTTCCCTGAAGCGTACTAACTGTATGTGACAAAGGAAGTAAAGAAACAGTTCCAACAAAAAACCCAGCCTGCTATAATTTAGAAGGATGCTGCCAAGACCAAACAACCAAACTGGTTTTCCTTCTTCAACTGCCAGCTCCTCACAGTGATAGCTCATTCAGTGACAATATATACAGAGTGTCAAGCACTGTGATGGAGTGCAGATGAGGGCATACTTCTCTATCAGTTAGGTTCCTGCAGGCTACAGCACAAAGCCATCTGGATTATTTCTTCATCACAACAATAATTTTACAGTGGTTCATTTCCAACCCAAATAATCTGTCTCACAGTCCCTGAACAACATTATTTTCCCTACTGCCTAGCCCTCCCTGCAATGCTAAAGCGCTAAATGAAGCAAGTCTAGATTTTCCAGTTTTAGATTCCCTGAATCTCCCAACTCACTGGGGCTCCTTTTCAATATAAATGGGTTTATTTATTACTATCAAAATGATATATATATTCAGGGACTAAGTGTTAGTCCACAACCAAATTGATAAAGCTTCTAAGGCCAGACCAATTTTATTTCTTGTTTTACGGATACGCCGGTCGTAATTTTTCAAGAATAAGAAAAAAAACTAAAAATTAATTTAACCAGCTCAAAAAATAAAATCCTTATGTTTTTATTGGCCCTAAATGTAAACTTACAAACATTTATTTTTTAGATTGTTTTTAGCCCTATATACACTTCATAAATTGCCAAAAGTAAAATACTTTTAGTATTTAAAAGGAATATTACTTTGACTGGTGACTTTTAAAATCTTTTTATTCCCCCCTGCCTTTAGATTTTCTGAGGACAAAAATCAGTAAAACAAGAAAAGATATTGGCCTGCCCTAAAAGAAAATAACTAATTTTGTGTTTTTCATATTAACAGTGGCAGGTGGAGGACTCTTTCATTATATATGTTGACATTCACACTTACATTAGACCTTTGAACAAAAATATTTTTCATATTTTATGGCTAAATTTATTCATAGCTTATTAGTTTTGAAATAATCTGAGAGAATTTAATCATATTCCTGACACTGAACATGTCTAGAGTTGCCAAAATATTGCAATCTTGTTTGGGAATTTTCTGACATTAAAGTTACAGGATTTTAGATCTGCACAAGGGCGTAAATTTGATGATTAAGCTGAAGTAATGAGGTTTGGGTTGGGTGACTCAACAACTTCTGGTGCAGGTGGAAATGATGTGAAATGCTGTTTAACATCCAGTGATGGTTACATATACACAAGGTTGTGGGAGTATGGTATCCTGTTGTGTTTGATGTCTCACGTACACTCAGTTCCACCTGTCCAGCATTGTTCACTACCATCTAGCCTTGCTCCAAGGCTGTACTGAATGCTAAGCCCATGGATTTTAGACAATAACTGAGTGACAGGGAATGACAGATTATCTTTCCTGAGTTATATTAATTACGTAATCCGGGAGCCAAGGCATCGTTCCTGTACCGAACCAACTAGCCTTGCTCCAAGGCTGTAGGAAACGCTAAGCCTATGGATGAATAGTAATCCTATCCTTTAAAGAAGCAAGTCTAGATAAAGGGACAGTACAAGACCCCAGTCTGTTATTTATATTTTTGTTAGAAATTATCATTTAAACTATTAATTACTACCTTAGAGACCCTTACAAGTCTAAAACCAACCTACCTCCATGACTAGTCAAGGAACTGCTACATTGTACAGAATGACCTTTATACAGGACGGAGGTTAAGTTCTCTTCCAATTATCATGACTAGTCAAGGAACTGCAACCTTGTACAGAATGACCTTTATACAGGACAGAGGTTAAGTCCTCCAATTATCACGATAGGATGCAATGAATTTATAGATAGTCTTGCATCCAAATTTTAAGATAGGGATGGGGTGGGGTGGGGGTGGGGTGTCATTCACATTGTACTTGCTTCTTCATAAATATCATCATCCACCCCATCCACCCCCAGCCCCACCCCCACCACCTTTCTCAGCCTAAGTTATGAACCATCCCTTTGTGAACTTATCATTCATTACAGCCTTGGAGCAAGGGTATGTGGACTGACTGACTGACTGAGTTTGGTTTTACGCCGCTTTTAGCAACATTCCAGCAACATCACAGCGGGGGACACCAGAAATGGGCTTCACACATTGTACCCATGTGGGGATTCGAACCCGGGTCTTTGGCGTGACAAGCCAACACTTTAACCATTAGGCTACCCCACCACCCCTCAAGGGTATGTGGAGGAGTGATGAGAGAACGTGGTGATGAGAAAGGGTGATGCTGAGGGGAGGGGGTCGAGCTGAATCTCTGAATGGGAGGCGGAAGAAGCCTCCAGATGGCTTCAGGCTCAGCTACAGAGTTCTGTAAGGAGAGTACCAGAAGTTTAATGGGATGGAGCACGATAAAGAAGACACTTGTTGCAATTAATGTTTCACTGGTCCTTATGGTATTGCCATAGAATGTGAACAGGATGTATTAAGATCTTGAACCTTGGGTCACAGTGAAGTGAGGCACTTATGGAAGATGAACCCCAAATGTAAATAGTTCTCAATGAAAAGTGTGCACTAAAAAGGCCAAAAGCAGCTTAAAAGTGTACCATGGGTACATATTCAGTCAGTTGTTGTTGACATTCCTTCAATTTCTTTTCAAATGCAAAATTCCTTTGTGGCTTTGAAACTGATTGTTTCCTGTAACCTTGGTAACTGTGAAAATAATGGATTTTAATGGGATATTTTCGTATGTAATGTTGAATTTGTTAGCACTACAGCCAGGCCCAGATGAAATTATTATTTCAAAATGATTTTTAAAATGAAATTGGATTGTTGATAATGTTCATAGGATGGATAAACAGATGTGAAGAGACAGGTGGTCTAGACTAACACTTAGTTTCCTAATATATATCATTTTGATTGAAACAAACAGTTCCTTTTTAATTGAAACAAAACCACAGTGAGAACAAAATATCCAAGTCTGCAAAATTTTGTCTAATTGTTTTCAACTAATGACACTTAAAACATGAACAGATTATCAAATTTGTGTTCAAAATTTTCATCCCTTATAAGAAACATACACTGTTAGATTAGCCACATCCATCTTGTATTATGTACAATTTATTATTATTATGTATCTGTTTCATGTGTTTTTGTATATATTACAATTGTATTCGCACTTGTACCACCAATAATGGTTATTTGAGAATAAAATGATTGATTGATTGAGATGGGAGATCCTGCACCTGAGGACATAGAGTTGCTTCATTTAGGGCTTCAGCATTGGAGAAGTTAAAATATTGTGGTTCAGGAACAGTGAGACAGACTACAGGTGGTCCAGTGGTCTAAGCTGTGTAAATTCACTTTGCATAGTTGTCTCCCTTAGTTCTGACAGGAAAGAAACATGAGAGGTACGCAACTAGTCCAAGGGTGTTCTTGGCAAGAGCTATTTACCCCTTCAAAATGTGGGATATGTAAAAAGATTCATCCTTCCATCCATCCATCCATTCATCCATCCTTCCATCCATCCATCCATAGATCCATCCATCTGTATCAGAGACAGGTTGGACTTTTTACATGCATTAGAACTGGTAAATCAAGTCTAAAGACCAGCATTACTGTTTTCCCATAGTTACCTCCCCTGTTAGATTAGATTGGCTGAATAGGTTTTGGAGAGAAAAAAAATGTTTATCAGAATCATACCAGCATACTAACACTGCTTTGGATTTGCTTATTCTTGTATAACCTAAGGTGAAAGCTATCTATGTCCAGCATTAGAGACACAAATGTTACCTGATGGAGGTCACAAATCACAGGTTTGACCATAGACTGATGTGAACACATCTTATGACCAGCACGGAGACCTAATCCCACCCAGAATTAAGCATAAAGTGTCTATGCCATGGTATATCTGAAATACTGAAACGCAACTCACTAACTGACACTCCAGGACATGCTGAAATATAATTGACCAAACTTCCATTAATTGTCCATTTTTGTCTGTGCAGGTGTTGGGCTGGTCACAAGAAAGATGGCGGGAGCCCTGAAGCCAACCCAGGAGGTCAAGGTCGATGGTGATAACTGGGAGATTAAAACTGTCTCCACATTCAAGAGCTCCGAGTTGAAATTCACTGTTGGGACAACATTTGATGAATCAACTCCAGATGGCAGAAAATGCAAGGTAGGATGTTTAGTAAAGGCAGAGTTACTCGTGTTTTGTTAGACTAACAACTACTCTCTGAAATGAACATATTTTACAGAAAAATGTTCATACTATAAAAACAAAATATAATGAAAAGAAACCCTGTGGAAATCTAGACTTGCCACATTTTCTAGACTTGCATGCGCTTTCTTGGATAAATTTCCTTCAGGGGCTGTATGACGGACTAGTGTTTTGTCAAATTTGCAAACTTGGTTGTGTTTTGTCAGATTTGCAAACTTGGTCATGTCTTGTCTAAGTCTTGTTTGGTCAAAGTTCCTTTTAGTGGTTGTGTTTTGTCAAGGTCGGAATTTGGGTTGCGCTTTGTCAAAGGTGCAATTTTTGTCGTGTTTTGTCAAAGTTGCATTTTCTGTTGTGATTTTTCAAGTTCCTTTTAGTGGTTGCAATTTTGGTCTCTTTGTTTGGGGCATTCCATTGCATTCCTTTGGCATACCAGAAATCTGTGAATGTGTGATTGAATCCTTTTTCTCACAATTATGTTGATAGGCTGGTCTGCACCAGATCCATGATCTGGTTTCAGTAAGTGGTAGGGCTGTGTACTGGTAATTGTATTACAATATATTGCCATACAGGTATCTGTATAGCAATACATATTGTGATTTATTACCTACCAGAGCGAAAATATTGGGGTTCATATTTTCAATCCCTGGGCAAAATATCAATTTGTCATGGTGACGTGAAGACATGAACAATGTTATGACGTCATGTTTCTTCTATGACGTTGCATTCTACATGCGGCCAGCTTATGTTTGAAAGTAGATTTGGGTATGTTTTCCTCCATTTGACGATTTCAGTAATAAACAGAATATCATTTTCGTGCCTATATCATACTACGTTTACGACACTCGTGCCTAAATGTTGGTATTTCCCGAAGCGAGAGCATAAACATAGTATGACATGGGCACTCATATAATATCCTCTGTATATTGTGAACTAGGGTTTGACAGTGACACTGTACACACAGATCCTATTTTATTCATACTAATTCCCTAACAATATATTTTATGGTTCTGATGGAAATCTCAAAATTAGTTGGATAGTTAGGGATTTGTCCTTTCTTTTTTATGCAATTCATAGTACTTGAATGTAAATTATGCAGTTTTGTCAATTTATTACATCAGTTGTGTTTGAAAGTCTGATTAGATTTTTATTTAAATCACAGAGATAACCAAAGCAGTGGATATCTGAGGTCCAAAATACAACTCTGACAAATAATTTACAATCCGATAAACACATCTTGTTTGATTCATGACAAGCCACGATCAAACATGGGTGAATATCTATTTTTGCCCAGCAGTGAATTCATTAGTGAAAGACATTATCAGTGACTTTAGCATTGTACAGTGACTTGAAGTGTTAGCCATCACGCCGAAGACCCAGGCTCGATTCCCAACATGGGTACAATGTATGAAGCCAACTAGTCTCCCCACCATGAAATTGTTGGAATATTCCTAAAAGCGACATAAAACTAAACTCACAGTTACTTCCACATTTGCCAGAAGAAGTAGAAATGTAGATATTCCCAAAACAAACTGAGAGGTTTGTGTTTTCCGGGTTTTATGAGACACCCAAATGTACGCCCAGTACACAAATGTATAGAAAATGGATGCAGAAAAAAAATTCACTGCATCTATAGGGACGCACAATATTATTCACTGGACCCACAACACATCTATGACGTTGCTAAGAGCAGTTAAGTTTCGTTCAGTGCAGTTACCTATCAGTCTACATGATCAATGATTTACTCCAGGCCCTAAAGAAATTATCAAAACTTACAGTTCTCTTCACTCTTACTCACAAGACCCTAGTAAGGACCCTTTAAACTGATAACTAACAATTAGGGGTTTCTGGGAGTCGAGGTAAATCCCTGTGGCATACATTTTTTTGTACAAATTCCCGTGCTATAGCAATATCTGTTTCTTGTTTACAGACAACAGCCACTCTGGATGGTCAGAAACTAACATTAGAACAAAAGGGTGATGTCGACTCAACGATAGTAAGAGACTACAATAACAACGATATGGTTATGGTAAGAATTGTTTAATCATTTGGTGAGGTATAGAAACACAACTGATCCATTTATTCACTCGTGATCTGAAACTGTTGTGCTGGGGCTACTATTGAAGTTAGCCTAGCCTAGTGGTTAGCCTAGTGGTTAAAGCTTTCGCTCGTCATGTTGAAAACCCGGGTTTGATTCCCCCACTTGGTACAGTGTGTGGAGCCCATTTCTGGTGTTCCCCGCCGTGATATTGCTGAAATATTGCTAAAAGTGGCGTAAAACCATACTCACTCACTCACTCACTCACTCTCACTCACTCACTCACTCACTCACTCACTCACTCACTCACTCACTCACTCACTCACTCACTCACTCACTCACTCACTCACTCACTTAATAGTAGTCCCTTATTAGTATATATAGTTCTTCAATGGTGGCACCTTAATAGTTGTTCCTCAGTAGTGCCCCTCAAATAGTAGGTTTTCAACTGTAGCACCACAATCTTCAATAGTAGTTCACCAATAGTAGGCCCTTACTATAAATAACAAATAGTAATATGATCGTGGTCATGATAACGTTGAAAGCTATAAGCTGACACACATTCAAAGTTCAGACATGAGACAGATCTTTTCATTACATGTTTTCCGTTTTCCAACATGACTTAGCCTGTCTGGGTCACCCAGTACATATTTATCAACTTTAAATAGCTGCCATTGAAGCTAATATATATACATTGCCTAAGTTTGTCAGATTATTTACTCAGCAAACTTCACAGTTAGCAAATAAATCATAACAAGTCTGATGGGTGGAGTTCCTCCGCAGACAGCCGTGACATTGTTGACACAGTGCATTGATGTGGCTGAGTTTATGTTACCCGTCAATCCTGTAAGCGACAGTGATCAATTTCTCTGCACCGAATCATGTTGATTTCATATTGATGTGCATAACATTTTGTGTTAATTTCAGGCAAGGTGTTGTTAATTTCAGTAGCCCAATTTATATTTTAACGAGACCTTATTGACACGCTGCATGATGTAAATAATTTGATCTCTGCACCGAATCATGTTGATTTCATGTTGATGTGCGAAAGATTTCGTTAATTTCAGGCAAAGTGTTGTTAATTTCAGTAGCCCCAATTTATATTTTAACAAGAGACCTTATTTCTTTGAGAGGCATTTTAGAAGTTGTGAAGATGAAGGAAAACTGATTTCTATGGATAGTCAACCTCTTTATTGCAATGAGTGCGACGTTTCGGTGTAGGTACTAACACCGTTATCAAGCAAGTGATACAACAACTGAAGCAAGGAGAATATATACATAGCTGTATAGTGAGTATATACAATTAACAAGGTTGATTAACAAGGACCTTGTTAATCAACCTTGATAATTGTATATACTCACTATACAGCTATGTATATATTCTCCTTGCTTCAGTTGTTGTATCACTTGCTTGATAACGGTGTTAGTACCTACACCGAAACGTCGCACTCATTGCAATAAAGAAGTTGACTATCCATAGAAATCAGTTTTCCTTGACCTTATTGACAAGCTGCAAGATGTGATTATATCTCATTATGAGTAGGTTGTTCTAAATATATAATTTGGTCGCTTAAACCAGAGCTTTAATGTCAGAAAAAAGGAAATTGTCATGAAACATGACAAGCAGTTTGAAATTCTATGCATCACTCATAAGTGGGTTTTCTAAATTATGTGAGCATCAGTTACAGGCAAGGCATGGTGTGTATATATAAAGAAATATGAGTCGTAGGTTTGCTATTAACTCTCCCACTCAAAAAGTCACAGACACAATCAACATTAAGTGTGGATACTGCGACTGAGGAAAGAGTGGGTGCAATAGGCAAACACAAGTTAACATGTGCAAGTGTTAGATCAATGCAAATAATTAGGACAACAACATTTGTTCTGGTATGTTAGTTTTGAGAAATGTATTGTTGTAATAATGGACATTAGTATGCCACAATAAATACGAAAATATTCTAATGTATGAATATTCGAAGTGTATTGATATTCCAAATGTGTTAATATCTGAAATGTGTTAATATTCTAAATGTTTTAATATTCCAATTCATTTATATCCAAAATGTATTAATATTCCAATTTGTTAATTATTCCAGATGTGTTAATATCTGAAATGTGTTAATATTTTAAATGTTTTGATATTCTAAAAGTATTGATATTCCAAAATGTTAACATTCTAAATGTATTAAGTTTACCATGCTGCTATAGAAAGGGACACCCCCTGACAAGTTGCATCGAGGCAGACATCCCGATCTGTGTACAAGCATTAAAACATGATGATACCTCAGTGTAAATAGCATCCTAGGAACTTAAAAGAACTGCAACCCCCAACATCTTTTTATCAGTATAAGAATTTCTGTATGTCATAAATGGATCATCACATTAAAAATAGGTAGACTCCAAGGGAGCTGAGAATACACCCTGATTCAATAGCTGAACTAATAATGCAGCATATTTTTAACATTGCAATGATGACAATTAATTAAATTAGTGGCCTGTTTCAAAACCTTACTTTATTAACTCACCTGTCATCTTTATGGATAAAACCTTACACAGATTCTTGTTTTTATCCTTCAACTATATAATTTAATCTGAATAGATGACAGCAAATGTTTGATATTTCTGAGTGCAATTTGGTATACATGGTGCTTTGTTACATTGTTACATCCAGTATATACACTTCCCCTTCTTCATGTTCCATTATGCTTGACAACGGTACAAGAATCTGTAAGGTGACATTTTTAGCTGGTTATCCATAAAGTTTGTTCTATATTTTACATCTAAAATGCCACTCAAAGAAATTTCTAAATTTGATGGGAAGGTCTTTTAGGTGGTGACTGTTGCATCAGAATGATGGTACTTTTACAGAATGATGTCTGACAGTGATTGACATGTTGTTATGTGCATCTGTCATATGTGGTACAGGAACCCAGCAGAGGGTGGGGGGGGCAGAGGGCTGGTCACAAGTCATACATTACAGTCCGTTTGAGTCAGAAACGGACCGATGAATTGCAAATTTTATCATTGTACAAAATTGCCACATAAATATAAATAGTACACATGTTTATCATTTACTAATACCCAACAGCTTTCTTATATTTGAAAATTTTCCTGACTCCACCAAAAAAGTTCTTTAAGAAACTATCATTAAAATTTTGACACAGTTCACTATTTATTACGAGGGAGGAGTGCAGAGAAAGGGACAGCCAGGTGTGCGAGAAAGGATGGAGACGGCACAGCACAGGCTAATGAATCAATAACTTGGTGGGCACTTGTGCACGTGCTTCTCTAACACCTGGCTGTCCCTTTCTCTGCACTCCTCCCTCGTAACAAATAGTGAACTGTGTCAATATTTTAATGATAGTTTCTCAAAGAACTTTTTTGGTGGAGTCCGAAAAATTTTCAAATACAGTCAAATCCCGATGAGTCGAATCTCTGGGGACCAAGTAAGAAATTCGACTTATCGATGTGTTCGAGACATAGGTATGTCTATGAGGGTAGAAAAAAAGATGATCCAGTCCTAATTGCTCCGCTTAAGCATTTGTTTACCTAATGATTTCCCTATCACTAATAGGGGCACCTTATCAGTTCCAGTCTGATTAGCACAGACAGTGATTTCCGTAAAATCACTAATCTGCCTTTTGAACTCACCCCTCAAAGGCGGAAAGGTGTGAGCGCTGGTTTGTTAATTGGATCAGTTTGCTACACCAATCAACTTCTCATTGACTGACTTCGGCTTATGTATACAAGATTGCTGTTGTTTGAATCTCATGGGACCAAATTTCCTTTCTCGAGTCATCGTGTGTATTTATGAGACGAATTCGTGTAACCGGTATTCAAATGATGACAACTATAACAGGGAATGGTCGGGACCGACAGGTACTTCGAGTTATGCATAATATTCGAGACACCGGCATTCGACTCATCGGGATTTGACTGTATAAGAAAGCTGTTGGGTATTAGTAAATGATAAACATGTGTACTATTTATATTTATGTGGCAATTTTGTACAATGATAAAATTTGCAATTCATCAGTCCGTTTCTGAGTCACCTGTAGATCCAGGTGGAAGTTAGGGAGGGTCACAAGTACCAAGCGAATCTGAAGAGAAGAGAGAGAGAGAGGGGGGGATGGGTGAGACCTGCTAGAGTGGGGAAGTGGGGAGGGGAAACTCTAACAGAGTGGAAGGGTAGAACCCACCTGAGGGCGAAGGGGAGAACTTGCCAGAGGGGAGAAAGGAAACCCTACCATAGTAGGGGTGTAACGGTGTGCTCTTACCACGTTACGGTACATATTGTGGTACAAGTCCTTCGGTTCAGTCCGTTTCAGTTCGGTATATGAGATATGATCATAATACAGAAAAGAAACGAATAGATTTGGACAAAATGATTCAATTTCTAGAAAAAACGAAAATACCAATTTTTGGATTGCATTACGATATACTGAACCAAAGGCAAAATACCGCGGTTCTACTAATAGTAATACTGTGGTATACTCTTTGACTCTGAACCTAATTAATTTTTGTTGACATGTTTCTGACGAGCAGCAAGACTCCCGTAAAGAGCAAATTTATTTTTACTTATTCAGAACATATATGTAAACCTTTGATCTCAAACCAACCCGTCCTCTGCCAAACAGCTGACAGTATCAGCACAAATACTTATATATCTGTCAGTGTCAACTGGTCCAACAATTACTTGTAAATCTGCCATTGTCATAGTAGACTGGACTGTCATGGAAGACTAGATCGAAGAGAGTGGTAACAGTGGTGGGCATGGTGAGTGTGTTAGCTTTAACACTGCTTCAGACAGTGTTTATGACATCATGTATGTCAGCTTGATGTGATACAAAATCCAAGATGATGCAGACCGTTGATGTTTGCTACTTGGCTACTAAGAAATAGCATTAGGGTGAACTTGGATTCAAACCCATTACATACATACATACATACATACATACATACATACATACATACATACATACATACATACA